CTTCAGTACTTGAAAATTCAGAATGCAATAGAGAAGTTGGGAGTTCCCAACAAAGAGTTCCCAACCTCCCAACAAAGAGCAAGAAGCTGAGGACAAGTATACAGGAGAAAGCTAACCTGACAGCAAATGTTGGCCTCAATGAGAGGAACAAGTGTTTAAAGACGACTCAGATAAACATTGACACCAACTTAATCTCAAATGCAGGGTTTAGTAGCAAGGGATCTGATTAGTTGTTCAATTTGTAAGTTGGCAGAATCCCCACCCCTTCACATTTCCTAGGGAATAGGAACTTACAGTGTTATAATTCGCTAAGTCAATGAGACCTCAACGACTGGCTTCCATTTAAGTTGATGTCTCAGGAGACTCAATTGTTTAAGATTTTAAAAAAAGAACTGAGATAACAAAGGACTGATATATACATATGAAGGTGGAAACCCAACCTATTAACTCCGGCCTATATTGAAGATGAGTAGGGAATACAAGGATTTAACATTACCATAGGTACTTTACCAACAGCACAGGAGGTTTTGGTCAGCACAAGAGTTGTGCACTGCAAACAGATTCCTAATGTCAGAGATAAGACCATTTCCAAAGTCCCTGATAACAAAATTTCCTGCTTCCACTAGGACTCTTCAAGACCTAGACTGAAATTGATTTTTTTGAATTGTGTGACATCCATTTGTATGGCAGAGCATTTACTGAAGAAAACAAAACAAGTCAAGGGTTGAAAAATTGTCTAAGATGTTGTTTAAAAGATTTTGCTGTCATGTTTTAGAGATCACAGGGAATGAGAGTTTTCCAGAAGACCAGAGATGGTCACTGTAGTCTCCACTTTGAAAAAAGAAAAACAGATAAATCATTTAAAAGTAGATTAAAAAATAGAGGTAGATTTTGCTTCTTGAAAAAATTCCATTTGGATCATTAACCAGAGGAATTTTCGACTTTGGGGAAATAATGTAGTAAACATTAAATGAATTAATGAGTCATTTAGATAAGCTATACCAAGATAGCATCATTTCCTTTTTTTTTTTTTTTTAAAAGGGTTTCTAGACTGGTGGTAGATAAAATAAAAACCAAATGTGTAGTCTACAAAATATTTGATTGAAGCCCTTTTTGATAATCTGTGAAAAAGATAGTGAAACATTAATTAAGTAGTAGTATATGTATTAACAATGTAAATTGTTTAGAAAGATGTTAGACACTGAATATGAAGTTGAAACTGACTTCTGACTATAAAATTCCTTATGTATTAAGGACATTAATTATTTAAATTTTTTATAGAAACATAACTCAGGCCAAGCGGCCCAAGATGCAGATAATGCAATTAACTTAGAAGTATATAATCATCAAATAACTTCATATTGTCCCATTTCTTTATCATTTTCACATTTTCATTACAGTTACTTCTGTTAATAGGCTTTGATAAGAAAGAACCAGATGGAATTGAGATTTTTATCTTGCTTTGGCCTGCATTTCATGGCACCTTTGTGTTTCCTTTGTTAGATGTGTTACAATAGATAATGCTTTTTCCAACATCCTGAAATTTCTTCTCTGAAGACAAGACCACCTGGAGAACATTCTGCTTTTTCATTTCATGAGTTCTGATAAGAATGAACTTTGATGGCAGTCTCTCTATTTAGGTGAATGGTTTGTGTGACCCATTGCTCTTCTTGCTTTGATCTGTAGATGTTCATCCTGAGTAGCACACTTGGAATAGAGAATCTTGTGTGCCTGAGAGATTCTGAAACTTTTACCAGGTTAATGATAGTTCATGCAGAGAAGTAGAAGTCACAAATATTGTATGGATTTTTAAAAGTTCCCCACTTGTCTTTCTAACAGAAGCCCACCTGTTCGTCGTAGAGTATGAGATGGGAGCCTGAATTGCAATGGAGCTAGAGAAGGTAGTGCATTACAGTTAGGGATTTAGCTCATTTAGGTTTAGGTCCTAGGCTTGTGCCTGCTAGTGGTCATCCTGAAGCCATTAGGTTTCATCAGTTTCTGTGAGACACAGTATCTTCTGCAACCCTGGGTTCTCAGGGTGGACACAATTTTAAAAGTGTAACTTTTCTCTTAGGCTTCCATTTTTCTATTTTCCTCATAAGAGTATTTCTCTGCTTATTAGATTATAACTCTTGTTTTCCCACCTTCCAAAGGGTGGGTTTTCACCACAAGAAATGATATTTTAGCCTCTTTTTTCTTACTGGTCAACCCTCTGCCTTGATGATCTTAACTAATTTCACGCCTCCCAACATATCTCCTCTGTGAGAATGACTCCCAACTCCCATTTCTAGTCCTGATCCTTTTCCTAATCTCCAAATTTAGTTTGGGCTGCCTATGCAGCTTGACATAGCGCTCAACTCAACATTTCCAAAACTTATTTTCTATTCCCATACTCTCAATTCTCAGAAAATAAAAATCAAAGAATTTGTGTTTCTCCTTAAAGAATAAAATAGGCCAGACGAAATGGCTCATGCCTGTAATCCCAACTTTTTAGGAGGCCAAGGCGGGCAGATCACTTGATCCCAGTTCAAGTCCAGCCAGGGCGACATGGCAAAACGCAGTCTCTACAAAATTTTTTTTAAAAAAATTAGCTGGTTGTGGTAACATGCTCCTGTAGTCCCAGCTACTTAGGAGGCTGAGGCAGGAGGACTACTTCAGCCCAGGAGGTCTAGGGTGCAGTGAGCCATGACTGTGCCACTGCACTCCAGCCCGGGTGACAGAGTGAGACCCTATCTCAAAATTAATTAATTAATTAATTAATGGCTTTTGTAACTAGTACCAGTAATACTATATTCCCACTCATCAAACATGAAAGTTCAGGTTTTTTATTTTTTAAAAAACTCCATTATCATAGATTATATCACCTACTGTAATATATTTTACTTGTAATATTTTTTACTCTGCCTCCTGTTGTTCGTTTTAAAACTACTCCCTCTTTCAGGCCCATTTTGCTTTTTACTATTATGATAGTTTTCCAGTGGATTCCCTACCTCCAAAGCATGTTATATACTGTTGTGACACTTATTCTTAAAATGTAGGAGTAATTATGTCACCTTCCTGCTTATAATCCTAAAAGACTCCCTATGATTTACCAAATTAAAAAGAAAATCCTTGTCTGACATCTTGTCAGCAGCTGTATCCAACTTTTTGTCTTTATTTTTCGTCATTTATAACAGAGATGAGGACAGCTTTTGCATCACTCGTGCCCAAATCCCTGGGTGCCTGTCAAGATGTGTATTTCTAAGATACATGTTTCACCTACTGAAGCAGAATCTCTAGATGTGGAGGCTTAGAATTTTCAGTTTCAAAAACCTTCTTATACACTTTAAAGTTGTAGAACCATTATCCAAAATTCAGTCAAAGTTGTCAATTTGCTGATTGTCAAATATGGCCTATGCCTTCTGGCCTCTTTCTCTTTATTCATGCTCCTCCCTCTTTCTGGAATCCCCTTTACCTTCTGATCTCTACTTATTTAAACCCTATGCATTCTTCAGGAATTACCCATACCACATGCCAGCCCCATTGTAAGTGTTCCTACTAAATAAATGACTTTTTTTCCTGGCAAGTTCCTCAACTTCTCTAGGTCAGAATTTCTTCAAAGTCAAAAACACTGTTTTAAACTAAATGATCTCCAAAGTAATGTTCTTCAAAATTGTGATTCTTGTTTTTATGTCTGTTTTGGTACTTGGCACAATCTGTCTAATGTTATGTATTTGTATACTTGTCTTTTGATCTTTGTATTATAAGGACCTTAAGAATACAAAGTATGTCTGTTGCTATCTGTACTCTGCAGTGCTTTGCAACATGTGTGTCATGTAAGTGGCTTAAAGGAGGTAGACAGATATTTACATTTTTGCTACGCTTTTGCATCCTGGATTTTCCTGCCTTGACCATAATAATTTGGGCATATGTGCTTGATTTAAATGGAAAATTAATCTGATGGTCCTTTTAAAAAATTAAATGATTTAGTATTAATTAAATACTACAGTGTTAATGACATTTACTATGGTATTAACATAAAGGAATGTGCAACGTGAGACATGGACATCAAAATTCCATTATAAGAAGTAACATTTTTAGTTCTCTTCAGAAGCATTTTGATAGTTCAGGGCATTTATGATACTAGTGGCTTCTTAACATGCATAGTAGGTCAACTGTAATTCAATGTTATCAAAGAAAAAGATCTATTTGAAAGAAGTCAACACCTAGAAGTTAGTTACATTGATTTCTGTAATGCAAAAATGACTATTTATATTTAAGTACTTTGAGAAATGTGTCTGAAATTTAGCCTGCAATATTAGCAGGCTATTTTACTATTTTACTTTTCCAGATTTTACTATTTCTGGATACATACTGATATATTCTCTGATAATGAGAACAAATTTCCACTAGCGTATTCAAGAATAATAAGAATAAGAATAATTAGACAAATAAACTATAGCAAGAATAATAAGAATAATTAGACAAACTATAGCAAGAAGAATGATGGTTAGCTATCAGGAGGAACTTGATATCACTATGAAGTCTATAAAGTCATAAAAATAACATTAGAAATAAAAATATTAGAAATAATATTAGAAAATGTAAGTATATAGTCTCTTTATGGAAGATGAAAAAATATCTTTCCAATCTGCATTATGCAAATGGGTCAAAAGCACATACCACTTATGTCGTGTGAACAGATATAAAATAGGGCTTACTAGGGGAAAACATAAAAAGAAATAGTAAAGGGTACACAAATAACTCAAATCTCATTGCTTAGGTCAAACATAGTTTACATACGCTATGTCTGACAGTCCAGATAAGACTCTCCTCCTCAATGTTCTGTAGATGTATAGGATGGAGAATCAGGAAACATCTATATGACCATGTAATGGTGGAAGCTCACGTTTGAGCAAATGGCATTGTTAGAAAGGGGTAACTTCTGGAACCCAGTGTGTAGTAACCGCCAGTTCTTCAGCTGCACTCACTCTGACTTGTAAAATCTGCTCACTCCCTAGCTGAATGCCCTGAACACAGTCAAAAAAGCATTGCAAAGACTTTGAGAACAAAATTGTGAGATAACCCACTGTACAAGACCTACACGAACTTCTGAGTGGCTCAGCCAAGGGGCAGACACAAAGAGCACAGCAAAACTTTGCTACTAACCCAACATTGCATGCAAGAGATGAGCCAGAACTTTGCCTGTGCGAACAAAGAAAAAAGAAATCAACACTCTCCGGAGGATTTTAACAAGATCCAGAGTTGCACAACATAATGTCTGAAATGTCCAGGATATGATGCAAAATGACTTAGCCTACAAAAAATACAAAGAATTTTCAAGAGAAAAAGTAACCAACAAAGGGAAACTCCAAGATGATCCAAATGTTGGAATTATCAGGTAAAACTTTACGCTGACAATTTTAACTATCCTCCTTGAGGTAAAGATGAACATTCTTGAGATGAATGAAAAGTTAGAAGGTATATTCTGCATTTATTGGTTGTCATATTCTGTCATGTTTCATATATGTCCTTTAGGCATTGACTGCATTCTTTAAACCTTCTGAATTATTATTTTTATTTTTACCTGCATATTATAGCAATTTGAGAGAGACTCTATAATTGTAGATATTTTTTATATCTTTGTGGCTCTGCCAGTTTTTGATTTATAAATTTTGAACTATTATTAAATACATACAAATTTGATATTTGATATTTAAAAATTGAACATTCATCATTATGAAGTTACACTCTATTCTTAGTAAAAATTTTAGACTCAAAGCCTATATTTTATATTAATATATATTAATCATATTAAATATACATATGTAATATATATTATGCATGTTAAACATATAATTCACTCTCTTTCTTACATTTTAATTTTTATTTATTACCAGGAAAGGGTTGAGGCCCAGATAATTTACTCTCTTTCATTTAGAATTACTTGTTATAGTTTTTTTCTTCATTTTTACTTTAAATCTATTTCTATCTTTAGTTTTTTGATGTATCTGTTGTGATTAGAATTTTAAAAATCTAGTCTGACAAATATTAGTGAAAGCTTTTATTCTTTACAAACAATACTAAGACCGTATAACACTTCCATTACATTAACCTGATATTTCATCCAGCATAACTGATGAAGTCATTTTTGAGTTTACCTAGTCCTTGTATTGCTTCAACATTGTATTTTTTTTAATTTACAATTGTGAAATATGTAAAACATAGATATGTGCATATAATGCATAAGTACAGTCTGAAGAATAATACTAAAATGAACACTTAAACATCACTGAGTGATATGGTTTGGCTGTGTCCCCATCCAAATCTCATCTTGAATTGTAGTTCCCATAATACCCAGGTGTCATGGGAGGGACTAGGTCACAGATAATTGAATCATGGGGCGGTCACACTTATGCTGTTCTCGTGATAGTGAGTGAGTTCTCACGAGATCTGATGGTTTTATGAGGGGCTTTTCTCCCTTTGCTCAGCACTTCTCTCTCCTGCCACCTTGTGAAGGAGAACATGTTTGCTTCCCCTTTCAGAGACTAAACTGTGAGTCAATTAAACCTCTTTTCTTTATAAATTTCCCCATCTTTGGTATGTCTTTATTAGCAGCATAAGAATGGACTAATACACTGAGCCTAGAAAAATGAAGCTTTAAAAGTCTGTTAAAGCTTCCTGTAAGCCACTCCCACCTCCCCATATCAGCTTCATTTTTCCACAACAGAAGAAACCACTATTTTTATCTTTATCGTGCCTTTGCTTTGGTAGCTTCACTACATATGTATCTCTAAACAATATATTACATAATTTTGCCCATTTAAAAATATTACATTATTAAAACGATACTACATATATTCTTTGGTAACCTGCTTTTTTGCTCAACAATAATTTCTGAAATCTTTTCATAGTGATATGCACAGTTGTTCATTTTTATCACTATGTGTATTACTTTCTTATATGGGCACTCTATAATTTATCTATGTAATGGGAGAAGCATTTGATGGACATTTGGGTAGTTTCCATCATTTTTGTTACCATTTTTAAAAAGCTGCTAAAACATTCATGGGCATGCCTTTGGGTGAACATGTGTGGAAATTTCCCTCAGGTGTAATTCTAGAAGTTAAAATGCTAGGTAGTATGGTGTATGTCCATGTTCATCATAACAGTGCCCTGTTATTTTTGAGACACTGTCAGAGCAGTTTTCATTACTCTACACCCTTGTCACCACTTCAAGTATTTGTCAACTTTGAAGTGTTTTTCTATCATGTTGGTGTGAAGAGTTCTTCATTTGTTGGTTTAATTTGTATTTCCCTGATTACTGAAGTGTTTGAACATCTTTTATATATTATTGGCCATATATCCTATGTGAGTCCATACAATATTAGGGTAAAAAAAGGCAAAATTAATCTATAGTGATAGAAGTTATAATAATAATTAACAAGTAATGAGGAGATGGGCAGTTACCAATTTGTAGAGGTCATAAGGAAGCTTTTTGGGGTGCCATATATGTTCCATAGCTCTATCTGGGTGTGGTTACACAGAGTATGTGTAAGTAGAAATTCATCAAGATATAAACTTAAAATTTGTGTACTGTGCTGTACATGCTATATAGCAATAAAAAAAAATGCTCTCAACTGAAAAGGAAAAGGTAAATAATATCACAGCATTTCTAAAACAATAATAATAACACCATATAATGGAATCTTGGTGGTGCAATTGAATTAGCAATTTGAGGCAAAAATCATAATCTTAAAACTATGCCAACAAAAATGGTAATAAAGATAAAAGCAAAAATTAATGAAATGAAAAAATGATAAAACTAATAAAGAGTAAAAATATTGGGTCTTTAAAAACTCAAGAAAATAGGAAAATATCAAGAACACAAAATAAAAATGATTAGGAGAAAATAACCATTGAATAAAGGACTTTTAAAAGTTAATGAGACTGGTCACTTCCAAGATGGCCGAATACAGTGTTGGTTTGCAGCTCCCAGCAAAACCAACACAGAAGATGGGTGATTTCTGCATTTCCAAATGAGGTACCTGGTTCATCTCACTGGGACTGGTTGGACAGCAGGCGCGGCCCACAGAGGGTGAGCCAAAGCAGGACAGGGCGTCACCTCACCTAGGAAGTGCAAGGGGTCAGGGAATCTACCTTTCCTAGCCAAGGGAAGCCGTGACAGACTGTACCTGGAAAAACGGTACACTTCTGCTCCAATAATGTGCTTTTCAATAGTCTTAGCAACCAGCAGACCAGGAGATTCCCTCCTGTGCCTGGCTCAGCAGGTCCCATGCCCACAGAGCCTTGCTAACTGCTAGCGCAGCAGTCTGAGATCGACCTCCGAGGCTGCAGCCTGGCAGGGAGAGGGATGTCTGCCATTGCTGAGGCTTCAGTAGGTAAACAAAGTGGCTGGGAAGCTCGAACTGGGCAAAGCTCACCACAGCTCAGCAAGGCCTACTGCCTCTATAGACTCCACCTCTGTGGGCAGGGCATAGCTGAATAAAAGGCAGCAGACAACTTCTGCAGACTTAAACATCTCTGTCTGACAGCTCTGAAGAGAGCAGTGGTTCTCCCAGCATGGCGTTCAATCTCTGAGAATGGGCACTCTGCCTCCTCACGTGGGTCCCTGAGCCTTGAGCCCTGTGTAGCCTGACTGGGAGACACCTCTCAGTAGGGGCCGACAGACACCTCATATAGGTGGGTGCCCCTCTGGGACAAAGCTTCCAGAGGAAGGATCAGGCAGCAATATTTGCTGTTCTGCAATATGTGCTGTTCTGCAGCCACTGCTGGTGATATCCAGGCAAACAGGGTCTGGAGTGGACCTCCAGCAAACTCCAACAGACCTGCAGTGGAGGGGCCTGTTAGAAGGAAAACTAACAAACAAAAAGGAATAGCATCAACATCAACAAATAGGACATCCACACCAAAACCCCATCGGTAGGTCACCAACATCAAAGACCAAAGGTAGATAAAACCACAAAGATGGGGAGAAGCCAGAGCAAAAAAGCTGAAAATTCCAAAAAACAGAATGCCTCTTCTCCTCCAAAGGACTGCAACTCCTCGCTGCAAAATGGAAACAAAACTGGATGGAGAATGACTTTGACAAGTTGACAGAAGTAGGCTTCAGAAGGTCAGTAATAACAAACTTCTCTGAGCTAAAGGGAATAAGGGGAATAACCCATCACAAGGAAGATAAAAACCTTGAAAAAAGGTTAGACGAATGGCTAACTAGAATAAACAGTGTAGAGAAGACCTTAAGTGACCTGATGAAACTGAAAACCACAGCACGAGAACTTCTTGACACATGCACAAGCTTCAACAGCTGATTTGATCAAGTGGAAGAAAGGATATCAATGATTGAAGATCAAATAAGTGAAATAAAGCGAGAAGACAAGATTAGAGAAAAAAGAGTAAAAAGAAGTGAACAAAGTATCTAAGAAATATGGGACTATGCAAAAAAACTAGACCTATGTTTGATTGGTGTACTGAAAGTGATGGGGAGAATGGAACCAAGTTAGAAAACACTCTTCAGGATATTATGCAGGAGAACTTCCCCTACTTAGCAAGGCAGGCCAACATTCAAATTCAGGAAATACAGAGAATACCACAAAGATACTCCTCAAGAAGAGCAACCCAAGACACATAATTGTCAGATTCACCAAGGTTGAGATGAAGGAAAAAATGTTAAGGCAGTCAGAGAGAAAGGTCAGGTTACCCACAAAGGAAAACCCATCAGACTAACAGCAGATCTCTCAGCAGAAATCTTACAAGCCATAAGAAAGTGGGGGCCAATATTCAACATTCTTAAGGAAAAGGATTTTCATCCCAGAATTTCATATCCAGCCAAACTAATCTTCATAATTGAAGGAGAAATAAAATCCTTTACAGACAAGCAAATGCTGAGAAATTTTATCACCACCAAGCCTGCCTTACAAGAGCTCCTGAAGGAAGCACTAAACTTGGAAAGGAACAACCAGTACCGCCATTGCAAAAACATGCCAAATTATAAAGACCATTGATGCTATGAAGAAACTGCATCAACTAATGGGCAACATAAGCAGCTAACATCATAATGACAGGATCAAATTCACACATAACAATATTAACCTTAAATGTTAATGGACTAAATGCCCCAATTAAAAGACTGACTGGCAAATTGGATAAAGAGTCAAGACCAATCAGTGTGCTGTATTCAGGAGACCGTCTCACATG